TAGGGGGTGGGTTAGGGGGGGTAGGAACCGTCAATTTTGCGAACGGAGCACCGGAGGTGCCCTAAAATGCCAGTGGCACCGGAGTGGCACCGGATTCCAGTGGCACTGGAACCGGGCCGATATATATATATATATATATATATATATATATATATATATATATATATATATATATAATAATAAAAATTTGATATTTCAAAATTATGTTTCGGTAGAAATATATTGATACTCCTTCCGTCCCATATCTTTCTTTCTGTTGTCGCGTTGTGCAAAGCAAAGAAAAGCCCAAGTTTCATCTCTAAGACATGAATAATTTAATTCTTGTCATCTTAAAATATTTCACTTTAAGACTCTATATTTCAATATTTAAAATTTTCACATTTTTCTCACTTAAAACTTTTGATCAAGGGCTCCAATATTTTTAATTGAGGTCCTAAACTATATACATGTAATAAAATACTTTTTTAACTTTAAATACTAAAACTAATACGGAGTTAACAGATGTGGGTAGCTCACTAGCTCAAGTGGCAAAAGGTATCTCCCTTTGGCCAGCATATTTAAATTTTTATAAATACTTCATGCATATTTAAATTTTTATAAATACACATACATTCTTCTATGAAGAAAAAAGTACAGAGTAAATTATAAGTATATTTTATAAAATGAATACACTCTTATTAAATTTTTATAAATACTTCATGCATATTTAAATTTTTATAAATACACATACATTCTTCTATGAAGAAAAAAGTACAGAGTAAATTATAAGTATATTTTATAAAATGAATACACTCTTATTACTCTGTATTATTTACAACGTATCACACATTGATTATTATATTCCAATAAATAATACTTCGTACTTCATATATAGTAGTAATATCAAAGAAAATACATTTTATATATTAGTTTTTCTTTCATTTGATTATTATTGTAGTTATATCAACCATCTAATATATTAACCCATTACTTTCCAGTGCTTCAAACGTATTTCCAGTGATCTAACCCTTACTTTTTCAAACCCTACCTATCAGATCATACTTTTTTCCTAATAATCTACGCATCACATCCTACTTTTACCCATCACATCAAGGGTATTTTTGGAAAGTCAACACAAAATTATCTCTTCCTTAATTTTAACTTTAGTCAAAATGTGTAAATCTTTTTTTGGGACGGAGGTAGTATTTTTTAATTATTTAGAAGTTTGTGTCGTGCGGACCGGGCCGGCCCGATGTCACTGGTATCCACGCGGGCCGGGCTCGGGCTTCCATTATTAGACTCGCTATATGGCCAGGTCGGACTTAGACCTAGAAAATTCTCGTAATGTAATATATCGGCCCGACTCGAAACCCGACCCAGCTCATACCTTAATCACGTATACTCTAGCATGGATATGCCCACCTCCACAAAACTGCTGCATCTTCAAGCCGGGATATGTTAGCCCGGCCCATTTCAAATCTACTACTCCCTCCGTCCCAAAAAGTCTTTCTTGTTTCATTTTTTGCGCATCCCATAAAACACTTTTACCGATATCTAAAATGTCTAAAATTTACAACATTTCTTCTTTATTGTGGGTAGAAGTTATTTTAAAAAAAATTTTGGCATTCAAGGCAGGATAGAAGTGTTTTATGGGATGCGCAAAAAATGAAACATGAAAGACTTTTTGGGAGGGAGGGAGTAGCTAACAAATTGGCATAGTGGATTTTATTGTTTTGAGCAGTTTTCTTTTCCGTTTTTGATTTTTCCCTTTTTCTCTTTTAAAAAATGTGGTCTAAAATATTTTTTATATTAAATGAACTTTATTCATTTTCATGTGATCTAAGATTTTTTTCTCTCCTAATGTGATCTAATATTTTTTTAAATATGTAACAAATTATATAAAAAATCAAAAAAAAAATCAAAATCAAGAAAATAATAAAATTTCATAAAAAATTACATATAGAACCATATTCTACATTTTTAACCAATACAGTATATCTACATAAAAACAATACTCAACACTTGTATTCCGTATTTGTTTTCCTAATTACTCACTAAACACATTTTTTATATTTCGAAACTCATATCATTTTTGATATATTTTATTTTAAAACTCATATTTTATCATATCTCCAAGCTCACCAAACCGGTCCTAATATAAGTAGATACAGATAGATAGTGTTTAAGTGTAAATAATATCAAATGAAACATTTGAATAAAAAGAATTCCATATGTTGAAAATTACTCACTCTGCTCATTAATTTATTTCTCACTTTACTTTTAGAAATGACAAAAAATTTAGGGTGTTGTTATTGGCGCTCCAATTTTTACTAATGGCGCTCCACCCATCTAATTTTTTTTAGATATAGACATTTATACCCCTTCTAGTTGGAGTTAGAAGTACTCCACTCTCCGTAAAAAATTCTTGTTTTATTTCTTAGGCATATTAATATTTCCGTCCCTAAATATTACCACACTTATATTCTCGAAGTAAAACATCAAGTTTTTTCAATTCATTTTATTTACGTATTGGTATAGAAATAAAAATTACTCCGTGAAATTTACATATCAAAATAATAAATGAGAAGTTTTTCGAAATATGAGGTGTTAAGAATATTTTATTTTATCAAATAACCAATGAAAACGTAAAAATAAACAAAAGTTCCGCGAGTGGCAAAAAAGAAAAAGTTGCAAATAATTTGGAACGGATGGAGTATAAAATACTTCTATTTCATTTCAAACATCTAAAGTACTCCAAAAAAAACTTCTCACGTAATAAACAAAAAAATATGGTGCATTTTAGATATTATAGATTTGTATAGAAGTAAAATAGAAGTATTTGTTGCTTCTTGAGGTCGAGTGGAAGACCCAAACGTTGTAGGTGGTCCAACTAAATTTGTTTTAACTATTTATAACTATGAAAAATTAATAAATTTATTTTCAAACAAGTATACAAATAAGTAAAATAAAGTAATTTTAAGGTTAAAATATATCATAAACTAATATAATTAATATATTTCAAATGTTTTACCTTTATATTTTATTTAAATTGTCAAAGAACTAGGTCAATCAAAAGTTCAAGCTTGTGGTTGCGATTTAGAAAAGTTTTTTTTTAATACCCTATTTTAGCATGCTCCTCTTGTGCAGACATAGTCTTTTTCGAGTCTTGCACATGAAACTTTAAATTTTTTTAAGTGGATGGCAATGAGTTTCGAAATTGCGACTTCTTGATCATCAAAACTCTGATATCATGCAAAAGAACCAACTCAACCAAAAGCTTAAACTTGTAGTTGTGACAATGTAAAGATCTTTTTATTCTAACACAAATAATCATTTTTTATTCTGAACCAGAATCTTTTTGGCACCGGGCGTAAATAATTTTTTTTATCACGGATGCTCTTTTAATATATCAGAATATATTTCAAATAATATGAGATCTAAGAAATTATTACAAGATCGAAAATTGATGATATCCCATAATAATATTGTGAGACATTAATGTAGAATTGATAACGTACCTAAAATAATAAAGAAAAGGAATATAGGACTTGTTATACGTCTAGTAGTATATTCCAATTGGGAAGGGCATAAATGTCCATGTATGAAAAAAACACAAAGGTGGAGCGCCACTAACAAATAGTGGAGTGCCAATATCAACACCCAAAATTTACTACGTATTTCTTATTTTAGCAAAAAACTTTTAATGAATCTACCATTATACCTTTACTTTTTTTCTTATAGTTTTTAACTTTTTTAATCTTTCAAACTGGGAAAAAAATTTTGGACATAGGGAATATAAAAAAATGTAGAAAATGTAGTAGTACGTACGTAGTACATGCAAAATACCAAGTCAAAAGGTAGAAATTACCTAACGAACACTACAATAGTGATATTTCCTAAAGAAGTGGGAGCAAGTAAGTAAGCCATATCTCATCTCCCCCACTCTCTCCGTATCTTTCTCACTTCTCCAAACCGCCTTCCCAAACTCCTCTCTTCCCATTCTCTTCTCTTCATTATTTAGCTTCTCAAACCCTTCTATATATATATATATAAGATCATCAAACTCAATATATATACACATCAAGAAATCAAGAAAGAAAACAAAGAGAGAAAAGAAAATTAAACAAAGAAAGAAAATATATATAATGGCTTCTACTACTACTAATGCATGTTCTTCATCTTCTTCATTATTGTTATTAAGCCGAGTTGCGGTGGCGGCGTGGTTGGGCGCGGCGGTGTTTTCACTCCATTTTTCGGCGGCGGTTTCGAATGAGTTTTCGGTGGGGGGAGAGAAGGGTTGGGTCATTCCCAAAGAAGACAACCCTCAGTTCTACAATGACTGGGCCTCCAAGAACCGCTTCAAAGTTGATGACACCCTCAGTAAGTACTGCTCTCTCTGTTCTAAAATTAATTTTTCAGTTTGATTTTCCTTGTCAAATGCTTTGAGCTTTGACCACATATAATGTAAAAACATACATTCAATTTTCATATAAATTTGATATCAATAGTTTAGTTTTTTAAACGTAGTTTTGAAATATTTTATTTTTATAGTATATTTTCATATATAAATAAAGATATTTATGATCAAAGTGTTATACATTAGAGACCGTGAAAAGTCAAATCAAAAATTAATTTTAGGAGGAGGGAGTACTATACTGTCATGTGTGTGTGTGTGTTTGTGTGTGTGTGTGTGTGTGTTTACCTGTTCTAAATTATTATTAGAGTACTGATTTTGAAAATGATTCTCTAACTTTTGTTTTCCATAAAACAACAAGAATTAGTATTGGTAAAATCTCGGATAAAACCGGGTTGAAATATTTGAGAGTGTTTATTATTTTTTAACTTTTTTTCTAAGACGGAAAAACAAAATATGATATGCACACCAGAAATGTTTTTGGATCCTGAATACAGAATAATTACTTTTCAAAGAAAAACTAAGAAATGTTTTAAGTTTATACGGAGTGAATTTTATTTTATTTTTTAATTCTACATCAAAAGTTTTGAATAAATTGGAACTAATTTTTTTTTTTTAGGAATTTTATTCTAGGATTGATGTTTTAAGCTTATACGGAGTGTAAATAATTTTTTCAATTTCCAATATTTGATTGAATTTATTTTCAATTCAATGTATTTAAAAATTAGTATAGAAATAAAAAATAAAAAATACTCTATTTATGTACTTAAACAATTCAACAAAAAATATACAAACTGAGAGGTGATTGTACTAGCTTATTTTATCAAGTTGACTGACGAAAAAAGGTAAAAAAAAATTTATAAAATAAAATTTGACTATGAAGAAAGTAACTACCCCTTTTATTGTGGAGACAGTGAAAATATGTGAATTTTATTCTTCAAATTTTGAAATAAATTCTTTTGAAAATAACTTTTTTTTATTTCGTGTAGAGTTCGAGTACCGCAAGGATTCGGTGCTGGAGGTGAGCAAGGAGGAGTACGAGAAGTGCCGGTCGTCCGGCCACCCAATCTTCTTCGACAACCGCGAGCACACCTCCTTCAAGTTGGACCGGTCCGGCCTCTTCTACTTCATCAGCGGCGTTTCCGGCCACAGAAAATGATCGTCAAGGTTTTGGAGACCGAGAACCCGCCTCAGCCCGGCGGCAACCAGCCCGCGGACGGCAACTCCCCGCCGGCTTCTGGCGGCGCGGCGGCGGTTCTTCGAGGCTCTCCGGTCCGGTTCGTGTTCTTCTTCCTCGGGTCCACCATCTTCATCAACGCCATGTGATCTTTAATAAATTATTTATTTAGTACGTTGGTTACATTAATTATTATTGTTGCGAAGTAGTATTATTTTCAGGCATATTTTTTATGATTTTGGCAGAACTTATTTGTGTTATTATTATTATTATTATCATTATTATTGCTATTAGGTTATAAAATTGAGTTTACAAATATATATTCACATCTGAGTAGATTGTTAAGTGTGTTATTTTTATTGGATTTCATGTTATTTCTTGTTGAGAGATTTTATTTTACACACACCATTAATTGTGGCATCATTATAAGCTTATGAAGCAGACAAAAAAAAAAAGATTAAGTGTTCAAATGGTTTTTGGAAAAACATTTTTTTTGGAGCTTGTTGAAAGTTTGGAAAATAATAAAACAAGGATAGAAAGAATGTCGAAAAGGTTATTTTAAGATAGATAAAAAAAGTAAAATCTTATTTGCACACAAAGAGAATAGTATAAAACATGAACATAAAAAATGAAGCCTTTTTTTGCAAATTGTAAAACATGAAAAAATGAAAAAATGAAAAAATGAAGCCTTTTTTTTTTGCCTTAAAAAGGCCATATTCTACGTTAAAATGGTTGAATTTGAAAATCATTATCTCTAAAGAAATCTCTGCATATTAACTGGTGGTTGCCCAAATATTGGGGTACGTTCGGTACCTTTTGTAAAAAGAACACACACATAAATGAAAGACTAAATTTCATAGTCTTTAATTACAAGTAATTTTCTATATTTAATCACTAATTCTAAAATATTACATACATGATCCTAAATTTTTGAAATTTATTTCATAGTCAGTTCTTCAGGGACTATTTATACAAAAAATATTTTTACATATTTGGCTTAAAGAACTATTTATGGAATAGTTCTCAAAATTGAAAACTATTTATATAATGTCTTATAATTGGAAACTAAATATGAAAAACATCCTAAAATTTGTGACCTTTTATGAAATTTAGGCGTTCTATTCACCTGATGTGATCTAATTTAATTTTTTGAAATTCTAATCTGATCTAGTTTGATTGGATCTCATATGATCTAATCTGAATGGATGTGATCTCATATAAATTTGATTAAAATTAAAAGTAAAATTAAAATGAATATTATAATAGTTATAATAATAGTAATAATAATAATAGAAATATTAATAATAATAATAGTCATAATAATAGAAATAATATTAATAATAATAGTAATAAGAAAAGTAATAATAATAACTATAATGATAGTAATAATAATAATAGAAATAACAATGTTAATAATAATAATAATAATAATAATAGAAATATTAATAATAACTAGTATCACACTCGTGCGTTGCACGTCTATATTATTAATATATATTCGGATCATTATTAAAGGATAGAAATTAATATATAATAGAATATAAACACTACAAGAAAAAAGATTTTTAATTACGAATCAATAATATCGGGTTGAAAATACTCTCATTAAATGTGTTATCTATACATTTTTTATGACGGGAAAAAATCATAATTAAAATGTGTTACTTTTAGTGACAAATTTTTTATTTTTAAAATTTAACACTCTCACTATAGATAAATAAAACTTTAATACTCTCAACATAAGTTTATATATGGAGTATATATGTTTTTATTAAGCCAAATCAACACTAAAATCACACTTTATGCATCGTGGGTCTCCTATTTTTTTCCGCTTACATGACGTTTATTTATAGAGGAATGCTAGGGGTACACCATTTGAAGTACCCTATTTGTACACCACTCATCATAACCCTACATTTCTTTTTTCATTTTTAAATTTTTTTTCCTCTCTTATGTGGTGGAGATGGAGGGGTACAAATGGAGTACCCTATTTCTATTTGGTGTACCCTAGTATTTTTGTTATTTATATTTAGATATAGGATGGGTTTGATATTTTTTTTCTGATCAATCCCTCGCTATATTACCAATCGATCTTTTCTACATCAGCGGCATTTCTCTTGCTATATTACCGATCGATCTCTTGTACCTGCCTAAACTGTTAGCTTCTCTCCCCGCCGGTTATTGGGCAACCCCAATCGGTCGCCCAAATTGCAACGCCAACGAAGCACAACCGGGGAGCAAGCATCGATTGCCTACTCTACAGAGGTTTGATTTCTTTCTAAAATCTTTTAATTTCTCCATATCAGTTTGTTAAGTGTTTGATCTTAAAATTGGGCTCTGTTTAATTTAAAACTGAAGTACAAGGGTATTTAGTTTGAGGTATTATGATGTGGAATTGAATTGGAAAAATATACACACTTGGTTAATTTCTAGCTCCATAATTTTCTTGTTTTTTAAGAACTGATTTATTTGTTTCCGGTGGGGAGTCTAAAGACTCTAAACTTGGTCTTGCTTGATGGAATTCAAGATGAATGGACATCGTTAATAGAAAGAATTGAAGGGTTCACACTAAAGGAAAGCTTCAGTTGCGCCCAATTGTTCGATACTTTTCCTTAGAGAAGTTTAAGTGGGGGAAGCAATTATAATTGAATCCATGGTCTCATAGGGGTTGTTAGAACACCCCCAGAGTCCTCTTATGTTTTGACTAAAGATTATTTAGTTCCTGCTCAGGCCTCGAAGGAATGGCCACCAAAAGTTTAGCAAAATGCTCCAATGACTTCTCAAAGGCACACAGACTCTGGAAGGGTTTCTTGGCCTTTGATTACAGAAGATAAGACTCGTGAGGAGTTCCCACCCTTATTAAAACAACCTGGAGCTCTTTTGAGGAGTGAACCCTCCAAACCTTCGCTCAAACTAATGTAGGCAGGCACTCCCATTTTGGGCACTGTTTTAGCCTGTTCAAATTGAGATGGTTCTAGCTCCCTTATCTCACGGCCTTAGCAGTGTTGAAACCTGTATCGTTGATAGCAAGAGCCAAACTGTTTCAGCCCCGTGCAGCCCAAAACCATGTAGCAACAACTACCTATTCAACAGTTATCTGTTGGCCATAATCACTCCTCGTTAACACCTACAAATTCAGCTTTAACCCCCACTATTTTGGCCCTGAAACCAGATCCTAATATGCCCAAACTCGTGGGCAAAACAGTGGCAGGGGAGTCAACCTTAGCTCAAATGGTGACTTCCTCCCCCTCAAAAATCCAACCTGTGCTCCCCTCTTTTTTCAAGGAAACATTACTAGTGTGTGACGTGTGCATGCACAAGGGAACCTCTGCTACTCAGTTTACAGAAAGAGAAGTAGACAAATTGTCCCTCATTCATCATTATACATTGGTTGGAACTTGGAAAGTTCAAAGCACACTTGTAACCCGTCATTATATGTAATTAGCTACGGAGTCTATAATGACGGTCGATAAGAGTATATTTCCTCTCATTAAAATGTTTTAATGACGGTTTTTTATGTTTTAACTACGGATTGTACTCACACTATAGAGCATTTTTCTTGTAGTGTTAAGTAGACGGGAGGAACCGTCTCCAGGGGCCCAATACTAATGTGACACGGGATTACCCTCCGTCATAAGCTCCCCACTCTCCGAGTTCTCTAACAGCCGGAAGGGGGAAGTGCTAGAGTAGAAGAGTACAGGGTTCTTGGGCGAGTGGTGCCACACGCGGATGCATTTCCAAATAAGATGGTGACATTTGGTGTTCCCGGGGCGACGCATGTGCTGGCATTTCATTCCTCCCAGACTGACATGTTAGTCTTCATCATTACGTCGGCCCAGTTCATTCTCTCAGCCCACCATCTGTTCAATATAAATACCTACCCTAATTCCTTTGTTTATCACTCTTAGAGAGAGAAAGTGATCAGACCTCGTCATCCAGCCATCGTTATTTCACCGTCATTCTCCACCGTTCAATGAACAAACTTCCAGTCGTCCCTTTTGATCTAGGTCGATTTCTTTGCTCTTGCACTTCCAATGTCGGTCGAGTCTTCAAATGTGTGTCGGGTCAAGACGGAGGATTAGCTCGGTCGCGGTAGGGACGGTTCCAACCCTCGGGACGTCGTTGGGGGTCAACCAAGCTCGCCATCTCTTGAGGAAATAGAGGCGATTGAGGTTTTTGATCCCCAAACCGTAAAGACCCGCTTCCAAAAAACAGATGGCGCTAGTTGATTCAATCATCTGCCTCCAGAAATGCAATCTGGCGGGTGACGAGTATCGCGAGGTCGTGCACCTAGCTAGGGCCGGTCCTGAGGATTCATCAACCTGGTCCGAAACAGAAAAAAGGCTCTAAAAATTTTATCCTTAATGGTCTAACAAATTAACATGTGTAAACTAATTATATTTAAATCATAATTAACAAAGTATTATTAGAAGAAAAAAATAAATGACAAAATTATAGTATTATAATTACATACCGTAAAAGCTAGTCGAGGATTCGAATGAAATATATATTATTTCTAAAGATATTTTTGCGCTTCATCAATGTATGTACATGATATAATGACTAGTATTACACAATTTGGGTATCACTAAGAAACCCTCTGACGAAACATTGCAACTGCGCGTGAAAGCGTCTTAACTCATTGAAATTGCAGAACATTTTATATGCAATCTTAATTCTAAACGGGGCTAAGTTTCCCAACTTTCCATTTTCAACCCTAGCCCTCTCATTTGCGATTCTCTGCGACACTGCCAGTCGGACGAGTGAATCCGCCCAACCCGACCTAAGGTATCTCTTCTTCTTCATCTTCTTCAATTCATAATATTCAAACATTTTCAAATATTCTCAAAGAAACATTATTGTTTTCAATTACAATGAGTACATGTTTTAGAAGGTCGAAATTCCTCATTTGGAACACTACACTATTCCACAGATCATCTATCACTATTATTTTAGAAAATGTGTATAAAACACCACTCTACAGCTCTTGATTTCATGCTTTTAGATCAGTATTTGCTGTGTTATACTTGTTTTCAGCTTTGCAATTTTCTTCTGATTGTATATTTTCATTTCAATGACTGAGTCGACTGTATTCTTTTAAATTGTGTGTTTGCCAGTGTTTTTTTTAATAATTTTAGGAGGATCTATTCTATAAAGGGAGAGCTTCCGAGAAAAAAAAAGAGAGAGAAAGGGAGAGAAATTCTGGAGGGGGCATTGTTTCTGTATGCCTTTCTTCTTGCTCATTGTGTTTAAATTTTCCAATCTCCCTTCAAAAAATAAGGGTCTTGTCTAGTTTTTACTCTTTTTAAAATTGGTCAATTTGCACAACTTATATAAATCATGAAATCCTAATTAGGCTCTACCTGGCCCCCAACTCCTAGTTGTTTGTGACTTTGTGTAAGTTGTTTTGGTAGATATTTATGCCAGTTTTTTAGGAGAGAAACAACGTTGGAGTATTTGGAATATGAACTGTCTGAGTGAACTCTCTGGGGCTCTTAATTTACCAAGTTGTAGTCCCAAAAGAACTACGACAAAACATTGTAAAATGTATACATAATTTATTTAAATGATTGAAAAATAACACGGGGTTGGTCTAGATTTATTTCAATCTTGATTACGTCTAGATTTTTACGTCTAGATTTTTGATAATTTTTAAATTAAAGTACTTGACATATTGAAATGATTTTAATAAGATAAATTATGATAACAGTAATAATAATATTAGTAATAATAGTAATAATTATAATAACAATAGTAATAATAATTAAAGTCATAATAATAATAATTATAGTAATAGTTATAGTAATAGTAATAGAAATAATAATAATAATAGTAATAGTAATAATAATAATAATAATAGTAATAATAATAGTAATAATAATAATGGAAATAATAAGGAAAAATTACCCAAAATAATCCCAACTTTATTGGGTCTTTCAAAAATAATATCACCATTCATTGTGATGCATAATAATCCTAATTTTACTGAAATTTGCCAGTTTTGGGTCACCGTTAAGTTTCTAACGGAGGGTTAACGGAAATGCCCGTTTTAGGCAACAAAATGAAAGTTTGGATTATTTTTGATGAATTTTTGTTTTTTAATTTTTTTTGAAATTTTTATTTAAATTTTTTGAATTACTTTCAACCTCCATTTCTTTTTCTTTTCTAAAGATTATTCTTACCTTAGAAAAAAATAGATATGAAAAATAATGAAAATGAGAAAAATAACTAAAACCATACAAAATTAATCAAATAAATAATGTAATCAATAGAAATTAAACATAAACTGGTAAGAAATAAAATAAATATATACGGAGTGATGGATTTTATCATTTTACACACTATAAAGAGTCTTAATGTACTACTTATTTTTTAAAAGAACAAGCCATCTGATAAAGTTGGAATTAGTGTAGATAATTTTTTCTAAAAAATAAGAAGTGATATGTTAATACTTTGTATAATTCTTAAAATGTTAAAACTCACCCATATATTTTTATTTTACTTTTACCAATTTCAAGTTAGTTTCCATTGATTACCTTATTTATTTTATTATTTTTGTATCATTTTAGTTACATTTCTCATTTTTTTCATTTTTATATCTATTATTTTTATTTTTTAAACTAAGTCTAATCTTTAAAAAAGGAAAAAGAAATGATGATGGAGGTAGAAAGAAATTTAAAAAATTTAAATGAAAAATTTAAAAAAAATAAAAAAAATGAATATTCATCAAAAATAATCTCAACTTTCATTTTGTTGCCTAAAACAGGCATTTCCGTTAACCCTCCGTTAGAAACTTAATGTCAACCCAAAACTGGAAAGTTTCAGTAAAGTTGGGATTATTATGCATCACAGTGAAAGATGAGTTTATTTTTGAAATATCGGATAAAGTTGAGATTATTTTCGCTAATTTTTCCAAATAATAATAGTACTCTGTATTATTTATAATAATAGTAATAATAATAATAATAATAATAATAGTAATAGTAATAGTAATAATAATAATTACAATAGTAATAATAAATATAATAAAACACAGAAAGATGGAGTCGTGCTGTGGAAAGAGACCATTAATCTCAAGCACCTTTCTGAGGGAGTGTTTCAAAAGCAGATACGGTGTTCTCATATTTGAAGCGATGCAATGGTGCACCACTTGGTTTTATAGCGCATGCTTGCTTGTCCTCAAGCGGGCACCGGGCTTTCAACATTGAAAACACATGGCTGTTTAGCCTCCTTGCTTTCTTCATGGCCTCCATTAAGCTATCCAATCCCTTTCATATTAACAGAGTACCAACCAGTTAGACAAGATTAACAGGGTTAAAACAACAACCACATATGAACCCACCACAGTAACCTTACCCCTACATATAGAGATAAGTCTCTGAGAAGGAAAGTGTATACCTGAACAAATGCAAGATTCATTTGCGGTGGTGTAAATGCTGCTGCTTCTGCCTCTGAAACATTGAGGACTTGATGTGAAAAATCAAAGAGTTCAAAGTGCAGTTGCTGGCCAAGCAAGTAGATGATTGTGCATCCACCCCAGGCAACAGAATCGCCCAACATTTCGTGGCTGCTTGACTGCAATAATACAGATTCCTCCAAGTATTCCTGAAGTTATAAACTCAGTCAGATATGCCCATCACCATAAAGAAGAATAGTACATGGCAACATTTCAAGACATCAATCAGGTTTTAGCTTTGGAATAAATTTTTGAGTTCCCAGAAAAGTATTGCCGTGAAACATGCTTAGACCTTCACTAACTAACACAAACGGCCAAATGATGTGATTGCATAAACTTTGATTTACTAAAATTGCAAAGATTTCCATTTTGTCTGAAGTGTCAGAGCAACATATGTAGCTCGTGAGGAACAAAAAGACTCATAATCATCCAACAGAAGCTCACTACTAATAATCTAAGTGTTAAATGTAATCAAAACTCTGACACATTAGCAAGAAAAAACTGTATTCATAAAAGAGGGCACCAAGCTGGGACTTTCCAGATGCTTTATCCAGGGTTAAAGTTGATAGAGCTCAGCAAATGCATAAGCTCTCTAAGCAAAATGAATTAACTTCTTCCTCTGTCCAAAAAAGAGCTTCTGGTGAAAATGGCACGGCTGACTGGCTTTAAAGTAGGTTGAAAGTGTTATTTATTGCAAAATGACTATTTGATAAGATGTGTGGAGTAGAAATAGTGCGTGGTTGGTTCTAGTTTAGAACTTCCAAAAAGATAATGACAATATCATTTTGGGAAAGACATATTGGTAAGTGCTGAAGTGGACCAAGGGACTTAACCCTAAAGTTCAGTAATCAACAGCTATAAACTACTTCAGCATCTGTATTACCGTTGCTATAGTCAACACACCTCCACACAATGGAACACTTTGAGCACAATGGATTAAGCATCAAATAAGGATTTTAGAACTGTAGTTTGGATTTATAATGATGAATCTCTTAAGAGTAATGAGTAGAGCAAAAAGCCATCTCTTACTATTTGTAGGCCACTAAATATTCGGTAGAAGTCCTTTGAAGTTGTGATATCAATAAATCCTGTCTTAGGGGCCGCGCTCCATTTGCCACAGTATTTATCTAAAGCGGCACTGGTGAAAGCAAGGGCATATTCCAGTACACTTCCAGTGTCAATGTTGGCCTTGTACAAGAGATCTGTTTTGGCATACATAGATTAAATACATGTGCTCTGAAAATGCTTTAGGAGATCAGAAATATGCAGTTTATGAAAGGCATCTGAACACAAAATTAACAACAACAACAAAGCCTTATCCCACTAGGTGGGGTCGGCTACATGGATCAAATGACGCCATTGCGCCCTATCGTGTATCATATCTGCTCATACTACATTAGGCAACACGAACTAGGGCAACACCAGAGTTTTGATACATCCAGAGCTGGAATTACTTGTTTACCATTTGTGACCTCCAGCCAACAGACAGTGGATATTCTGAGAAAGAGCCTAGCAAGATCTGTCTTCAACTATTTCATAAGCAAGTTGGGCAAGCTAAATACCTATGCACCAGCTTGACGAGCATTCGGAAAATCAAATTTTGTGATTTCCTAATCGTGTTTATTTTTACTATTTTCTCTTTATTCCCTTAGTTAAGGTAACTGCTTTTTATACGTTTCATTGTAATTCTTCTACTTATACTGTCGACTGATGAATATGATATAACAACGTTTTATCACTTCCTTAAACAGATTTCAATGCTATCTACACACTCCAGTTTGAGGGGCAGTATTGAATTATTCACAGCTCAGATTACACAATTCTGTGGTACATGGATTTGTGGTTGTGGCACATGGTTTTACAGTCCACATTATAATAGTGTTCAGCTTGTTTTGCACTTAACTTTCGGACCCTTTTATTTATAATAAGCAGCCATTGTTTTTGTTCAATAGTCAAGTAATACAAGTCTTATTATTACTCCCAACATATAATATACTACCTCCATTCCAATGTATTCGTCCAGTTTAACATTTTCAAGTCAAACAGGACAAAAGTTGGACCTCAATTAAATAAAAATTGTAATTTGTATATTAGTATAAAAATGACTTCATAAGATTAATCTTGTTGAGAACTTTCAAAATTTTACTTTCATTGTATTAATATGCAATATAAATTGAGACTGATTGATGATTAAATTGCATCTAGTTTGACTCAAAAAAAGTCAAATTAGACAAATACACTGGAGGGAGTATATGATACTAAAAGATTCTTCTTTCATGTGAAAGTGAGCTTATATTTGAATGACAATCCAATCTAATAGGTTGATGACCAAAAAAGAGTGCATATGGAATTGATAGTGAAATATGAATAAAAGAGATATCTACTCAACAAGTCAACAGTATGTATACTGAAATATAAATGAAACTCAACAGGTTAAAATGGAATGTGTAATATGCTTACCAGAAATCAAGCTATGCAAATTTTAATATTCTTTATTGTCTACCATATGTGTCCTAACTTAATTTGATAATGTAACAAAAAAGTTGCACCTAACATTGAAATTTTATTCAACCATTCCTAGCATCATTATAAACAGCAATTGCCTGTGTTTGGTGGATTCTAAGTAGGTGAATACATACCAGCAGCTTCCGCTTGCTTTGATAACATGCTGAATGATGTGGAACTTAAGCAGCTAGGGCTAGATACAGTTGCAGCAGTTGCGGATTTAAAGAGAGTGACCATAGGGCTATCTGCCCCCTCTTGAGATTGCGTCATCTGCCCATCTGTGCCTGGAATTAAACCTAACCAAGGGGCTGTTTGCAAGAAATTACAAGTATCTACTTCCCTCTGCCAAACACAATATTACAAGTTCTCTCAGCACATTTTTTACTTTAA